ATATATATATATATATATATATATATATCTCATTTAAACAAATTAATAATTTTTTTTTTCATAATTACATAGGGATAAAATCAATCACAGTGATCAAATATTTTAGAGCTTAAAATAGTTAGAAAGATATTTATTCACTGTAATAATTTCCATAACAAATGATTTTATTCATTTATATTAAGAAAAGAAAAGAAAAAAGAAAAGAAAAGGAGTTTTAGTACAGAAGCATGTTGTACTAACATTCCTTTTCATTGCAAATGGCCAATTAGATATTTAACAAACTATGCCTTTAATTGGGTTTCTTTGTAAGTTAATTACTTTATTCAAATCGCTGCTTGTCTTCTGTTGTAAGTAAACAATTTATAAGGGTGAGCAAACACAAATTAGCTCAATTAGCTCATGGTTCCCAGCTGAAACAATGCCAGGGAAACCAGATGACTCGAGACATTTTGTGGGGTTTCCATTCTTCTTTACTAATAAAACTCCAGGCCTAATGAGAAATCACATGGACGCCCTTCCCAACATCCTTACCTGCATGTCCCGTCGTGTAATGAAGCCTTTGCCCTCGATGTCACAAATCTGGAAGAACTCCCTGGTCTTCTCAAGCACAGCACTGCAGTCGCTGTCACTGGGCGTCCCCTGCCTGTCTTCTCCCCTACGATGGGACGCCCGGTCCACCTTGGAGCCACAGGTGCTGGAGAAAGATGCCATGCTGTCTATGTGTGTGTGTGTGTGTGTGTGTATTTGTGTGTGCATACTGTATGTATGTGTGTGCGAACTCCACTCTCCTCACATGGGTCAGCCCTTGACAGAAGAGAAGAGAGAACAAAGCTTTTGAGTTACACCCCATCACATCCTCTTAGAGTGCCGCCGAGCGCCATCTCTTAGCAACCACCTCTTTAATTAGACAACGAGAGCACCTCAGATTGGTGCAGGAAAAGAAATAGCGTAAAAAAAGGGAGGAAGATAGAGAAAGCGTCAAGGTGAATATTCAGAAAGGTTATTCGAGTACAGAGTACACCTCGATATGATATTCTGGAGCTTGTACCATGATGGTGGCTGAACAAACTCAGGATTACAGGATTAGTTTCGAGTTGACAAAATCAAACCAATCCAATCCAGCTTTGTTGGTACCATGACACTGATCAAGCTTATTTATATTGCATGCATATTATCTATATATATTTACATTAATTTAAAATAAAAGCTTAATAATAATTATTAAACTAAAATGGCTTGTGTCATGGGTTAAGAGCATAATAGTTAAAGTAGTGCCCTTTAATTTGGAGCAAGAGAAACTGTGGGAGTGACTTTATTGTGTCACAGAAGCTGATTGGTTTAGATGCTTCCTTGCATCTCTAAATCTTAGCAACTCTAGTGGGTTCTTAGTCTAAGAAGATTGGTATGGTGTTTTGAGGCAAAATAAAGAAAGCAGATAAAAAAGAAATACATTTATAATAATGATTGCACCTCTGGGTTTCTTGGCAGACGTGTTGATTAAAACTTTTGTTTGCCTGTCATAACAGCCTGAATATGTACATTATTGATTTCCTTTGTCTAACAAGAAAAATCAAACTCGCTTTGCATTTCTGCTGCACAAAAGTAATTTCAAAGTTTGTAAAGCCCATTACCCAACAAAGCATCACATCTCACTGACAACTTTTCTGTGACAGCTTCTTAATTGCCTACAAATTGAGTTAGTTGGCTGTAATATGGCAGGTAAGGTTTTGGAAGGCAGTCGGGCATATCCTACAATAACGTTTGTGTGTAAAAATGTGCTTAGCAAGCAAAAATGTTTTTATCACATTTTTAAAGTGGTCAAAGACTCATGATAAGTTATCTAGGCTTCATATTGACTGAATATTTGTTTTTGCAGTGACATGGTCCTTTATTTTGAAAAGCATTACATTTTTTTTTTTTGGCAAAATGTGAATTTTACAAAAAAAAAAGTTTATTAGATCCAAGTAAAGCTATTATTTTAAACTTAGAAATATTAGAAGTAATCGTCTATTGTTTAATTTTAGTCCATTAACACTATGAAGTGAATCATTTAAAGCACTAAAGACATATTAAATAATATTTCTGTGCCTGTACAGTGTACTTGTAATGTATTTCTTTAGTACTATATATATTTAGTAAAAAAAGACTTCACGATGGCTTCTAAGTAAAAACTGATGTCAGGCCTCTCCCAAACATTTCAAAAGGAATTTTATGGCTAAATCAACCCCTACAAACTAGTTGTGGCACTTACGTACATCTGAATTGCATCAGGGTCTTGTTGGGGGGAAAAAAACACATCTGGACAGGCAAAAAGCAATAAGTCCTCGGCTGCTGAGAATAGCAGAAACTAGTGGACTGGAACACTGAAACGCACGTCTCTCTTATTTAGTGGAATAAAGACGTTATTTGTGCAGTGACCACAAGTTAAAAGTTGATGGGACTGATGGGAGCCGACAAGCCATGCCACAGATACGAGTGTGGTGATGCGCATTTCCTCTGGGTATTGACTGGGAAAGCCACAAGTTTGCTGTTTCAAACTTCTGAGTGCAGTGGAACAGAATGATGCTTTCAGCGGCCTCAGTAAACCCAACCATCAGTCACAAACTCCATATTAGCCCACTAAAGAGAGACCAAGATCATGTCACAGATGTCTGTCTACAGCAACAAAAACACAATATGAAGTCAATTTCAACCAACCAAGTTGCTAAATAGCAAAGTTTAGATAAATGTTTCATTGTCCCTCCCACTTTATAAATTCAAGTTACAAATGCAATGTACAGTCTCTATACAGTACACTACAATTCAAAAGTTTGGGGGCGGTAAGATTTTTTTAAATGTTTTTGAAAAAAGTCTCTTATGCGCCTCAAGATCAAAGTATATTTGATCAAACATACATACAGTAATGTTGTGAAATATTATCATAACTTAAAATAGCTGTTTTCTATTTTAATATATTTTAAAATATATTTTATTCCTGTGATGGCAAAACTGAACTTTCAGCAGTCCTCAGTGTCACATGATCCCTCAGAAATACTAATATGCTCATTTGTGGCTCAAGAAACATTTCTTATAACTATCAATGTTGAAAACAGTTGTGCTGCTTAATATTTTTGTGAAAACCGTGATTCATGTTTGTCAAGATTCTTTAATGAATTGAAAGGAGATGTTTTTGTAACATTACACTTTACTGATTCATCTTTGCTGAATATAATTATTAATTTATTTCAAAAAGAAATAAATAAACAAAACCTTGAAAAAGTTTGTGTTTTGAATTATTTGTTAATTATTTACTACATTTCAGGAAAATACAAAAAGTAAATTGACCTAAGCTAACCTAAGCCTACCTCCGTGAAGCCTACCTCCATCCTTCAGATGGAATATCACCACTGCTTTGCATGAAAACTTTATCTATGCTGCCATGTCAATAAAGAGAACAACGTAGTGTGCCACGAGGTTCAAAATGTTTCGGTGCATGGACAGAGACTTACTAGCTTCACTTAAATATCATGTCTAAAAACTTTTTTGTAAAAACCTTTTTACAAAATGACACCATTTGCACTTTTGAAACAGACTACCCTTTTATAACTAGACATTTCACAGTGTATCTGATCTGACAAAGTATCTTTTTGACTGACAAGAAGTCTTTTAGGTTTCTACTTAAAACTATGTATCCAAAATATTACAGCAAAAAGCATAACCTCATTGAGTAATAAGCAAACATTTAGGTACATGTATGAAATTGGCAGATGTTTTTATGCAAAGCAACATACAGTCATGGCCAAAAGTTTTGGCAGTGACATAAATTTTGTGTTTTGCAAAGTTTGCAGCTTCAGCTGTTGTGGTGTTCATTCACATTGTTTCTAGATTATTGTGTAGAGTGATCAGATGATCCATGTGTGGGGTTGCTTTTCAACCAAGGGAGTGGGCTCTCTCATAATTCTGCCCAAAAACACTGCCATGAATAAAGAATGGTATCAAAACGTCTTGCAAGATTGACTTCTTCCAACGATCCATGAGCAATTTGGTGATGATCCACGCATTTTCCAGCATGATGGAGCACCATGTCACAAAGCAAGAGTGATAAAGAAGTGGCTCGAAGATCATTACATTGAAATTTTGAATCTGTGGCCAGGCAACTCCCCGGATCTCAATCCCATAGAGAACCTGTGGTCAGTCCTCAAAAGGCGAGTGGACAAGCAGAAGCCCACAAATTGTGATCAACTCCGAGAACTAATAAGGCAAGAATGGATCGCCATCAGTCAGGATTTGGCCCAGAAGCTAATATCCAGCATGCCAGAGCGAATTGCAGAG